AGAATCAGGGAACCAAAAAGACAGTCAATGATGCTGATACGGAAGACAGCTAGACAACAAGGGAGGAGATAGAAGAACTACAGAAATCTGGAGCAAGAATAAAAATATTACTGTCATTGGGGGTTATTTTAGAGTAAGGGTGAAGGGCGTCCCCACGTGGGTCTATGGTCCACAGACCATCATGGTGATGATAGGATCACATGCAGCTGTGCATATAGAAGGATTTGGAATCTGATGATACGAGTTTAAGCCTTGACCTTACGCTTACCAGCTGGGACACCTTAAACAATTTATCTAATCTCTCTGTTGAGTCTGTTCTCAGCTCCTAAAATGGATCTGGAAACATCCAGCTGACAGATGTGTTGGAGATTAAAGTGATAATGAAATGTAAGCAAGCTCTGTAAACAATGAGATTTGTTCAGTGTCTAGTCAGCTGAGCCTTTTATGTCCATCCTGATGTCGCTGGGACACCAAAAAGGGATAAGTGTATTTTCTGTATACTTTGTTTAAGGGAGAAAGTCAGCAAGAATTGATAAATTCCGACTCTGAAAGAGACAAATAAAACTCCCCGAAAACTTCTTTGTCTGGGATGATTTGTTCTTGACAAGTAGGGTTTCCTGAGAGGTGAAGATTGGCAGAGAATGAGACAGAAAAAGTAAGTCGGGGCCAGATTGCCAGTGACCCGTGTGCCATGCTGGGGGAATTTAAGCTTTCCAATTCATACATTTGGCTCCATATTTTGTTAAGTATTGAAATATAAGAATACAAAAAATAAGTCAGAGTCAGAGAAAATAGAAACTGGGACGCAATCTCCAAGTCGGAAAGAGGAAGCAGCTATACAGGTCACGGCGCCCTGCAGTGCTGGTGACGTTGAACTTCCAATAGACTGAGCAGCCAACTCAAAAGGGAGAGAAAATTCGGCACTCGTATGGTCTACATCATTCATGAGGACAAAACACCAGCTCTCATGACTAGCAAAGCCTTTAAATGAGTGAATTTTCTCGGGTAGGACTTTATAAATGAGGCAGAAAATGAAGTGTGGCATTTAACGTTCCTATAACGTCCCCCTGGTAAACTCAACAGTAGGTTTAATAGGGGTGCTTCTTCAAGGTCCCTTCTCTTCCCCTTTGCTACTTAATTTTTCCCATAGCATTTATCACCACATTTACTGATTATGAATCATTTTGCCTATTGTCAGTCACTCCCAACAGAATATAATCTCTGTGAGAGAGTTTTGCTGTTTTGTGTCCCCGAGCCCTTAGACCTGTGCCTGGCTCTTAAGTGCTCAGTATGTACTGGTGAACAAGTGAATGCAGGTATGATTGAAAGTATTTTACGTTAGAACTTTTCAAAGCTTCCTACCCCTGTCCGAGAAAGTTTCATGACTGTGCAAATGGAATATTTGACTTCAAGCTGTTTAGAAAAATTGAGATTCTGTGTTGGCTTTTAAAATAAACCTCTCAGGGTCATTTTTCATTTTCCTTGAAGAAATATTTTTACGTATAAAAATAAAATTATTTTGCAAGGAGGTACCTCTCTGTAACTTTGCTGTGCTACTAATTTTAACTTAGTTCATTTTGTCTTTTATACCCATTAACTCAGAGGTTGGTGGTATCAGTCAGTGGGTTAAACTTCTCAAGGTTGATATAATAGTTTACAAATGTCAGTGATCAAACCCAGCTTTTCAGAACAAATATGCTTGAGACATATTCCTTAATAAATATTTATAGCCCCTCACAGGTCAACAGTCTTGAAACTATTTTTTAAAAAGCCTTTAAAAAATATGTATTTATTTATTTATTATTTTATTTGGTGGAGGGGTAATTAAGTTTATTTAGTTTTAAAGTTGGTCCTGGGGATTGAACCCAGGACCTTGTGCTTGCGAAGCACACACTCTACCACTGAAGCTACACCCTCTCCCAACTAAAAAGCCTCTTAATATTATAGGAAGGTTCTTTGTTCTTAGAAAATAGACCTTGGAAGAAATCTAACTCAATGGACGACATGACACAGAAAACACAAGATTTAACTAAAATTTTATGGTCATGAGCATGTAAACATTTGTTAATCTTCTTCCTCACCCATCAGTCAAAGTTTGAGAATCAGTTCAGCGCTTTACTTGGTCACAAGCAATTGTTTCAACAATTTCTTAAGGTTTCTTTTACTTCCTGTCTAAAACAAAGCAAAGCAAAATGTGCGGCTTTTGTTTTAGCTTTGAATTCAATCAGCGCTCACTCGAAGCTATTTGATTTGGGGCTTTTAATAATTTATTTTCACAAGGAACATATTTTCCATGGAACTTGCCAGATGAATTATATGCAAAATGTATCCCCCAAATAACCAAAGAAATGTATCTGCAGTGCGGAATGGCTGGATACAAACCAAGTAAATTTTAGAGGACAGCAGCCAAAAGCAATGACATGGAGTGATTTCTTATGATGCTGAGGCCCGCTTGGAATTGTATGTGCTGGACATGCACCGCTTCTACATTCAGAAGCAGTCGCAGATCTGCAGATGCACAAGGAGCTCCAGACAGTCCCTGCAAATATCAGAATGTGCACTGTTGCCTATTTAAACAAGGACAAGGTATTCCTTAGAAGACAGTTCTAGAAAAGGAGTTTCCTAGTTACAAGGCTGCCTTTCTAATAGTCCTTGATGAGCTTTTCCCAGCTCTCAACTTCAAAGTCTATACAAACATACCCAAAAGGCAAAAACTGACAGCATCATGAAAAAATGAATAGGAAGCCAACTATTGCTAGAATGCAGAGGGAATTTCCATTTGCCACAAGGAGGAGTGAGACAATAGAAACAGGAAATATCTCCAACTTAAGTAGAAAAACCCATTGCCTTTATTTCCATTGTCCTGGTTTCTAAGATGTAATTGGAGAATGTGTTCTTGAACTAAAGAGGAATTCAGTTGATAAGGATTCGTCAACCACCGCAACAAAACACATCCAATTAATGTAAGACACACCTACATAAAGTCTGGCTGTTTTGGTTGAGCTCAATGTCTTGTTTGACTGTCCGGTTTTTTGGTTGGTTGCTGAGGTCCGGGGTCTACCACTCCTGGTTTAGTCACGTGTGACAAGGAGCATCCTTTTATGGTGTAAATTATGGTCTCACCATGCAAGGGACAGTTTTTCTTAGAAAAGGAGTCTGTTGCGGGGAGGGCAAGTTAGATAGAAGGCATAGAAATATAACTCCAAAGAGAATGCAGCCATGAAACAGTTTTACCTCGTGACATCTGTGGGGTTTTCCTCCCAGGAGTGTCAGGAGTTGGTAGTAGGGGATTTAAACATTCAATTCACTTATTGATAAGTTAGAGACAGAAAAAGATGATTTTTAAAAAATAGAATCTAAATGGCATTTTATAAAATTCTATTATCATTCCAAGAAGTAAGTTGTAAATTCTACAAACCTCCTTTTGAAATCAAAATTATTCTGGACACGCCACTCATGTAACCGTGAGGACTGGGGAAGAGAAGGTGACACTTCTGATTTGCAATTAATGTGCCCCCTTTTGTGGGGGATGGGGTTGTTGTATCTAGAAAAGAGAATCAACTAAAACCTCTGACCTGTAATGAGATTCAGTGTGATGATGGGTAACATAATACCAGCATTTTCTGTATCAGTAATCATCACTATCAAATATGAAGGCTATACAAGAAAGGGGTGAGGAAAACATCTGATTAACAATAACTACAAAGAAATCTAAATGTTCAGGAGTAAATTTATCAAGAAATGGACAAGAACGATAAAACTTGATCAGGAGACAAAAAATATTAGAGAAGAAAGGGCAACCCTTTTGTTTTTTAGGAGAAAAGAAGGTGCTGTGTTGTACTTGTGTGGGTGGGTGGGGACTGGGTGGGATCCTGAGTGAAGAACACCAGAAGGAGCAGGAGACTCTGAAAGATCAGGGGCGGGAGGCTGCCCCCACCTGCTCCAGAGGGAGGGAGGTGGGGCTTGGAGAGGCTGCGAACGCGGCTTTGGAACACCTGCCTGATGTGTGGGGCTTCAGGAGAGCTGAGAAAGGTGCTTTTAACTGTTTTTTAAGCAGTAAGTCTTGCTTATGCCATTCTCCTTTGCCTCCGCTCCTCTCTTCCTGAGCCTCTGCAGTAACGTCTCCCTTGCTTCACACAGGCTTCAGGGCCAGATCTGTGTTTCTGTACAAGCGTCACCACCCTCAGGCCAGCACTAGGAGAGCAGGAGGCTCAGTTTTATTTGGATTTTACAGCTGCCTCAGACATGATGCTTCCACTCAAATTCAGGTCTCTGGGTCTGAGTTATCGTCTTTTGCTAAGATAAGGTTAATATAGCAAACCAAACAAAGTGGTTTCTTTTATTTTTTAAACTCTGCATGATTACTCAAACAAATTTTTTTTGGAGGGTAGGTAATTAGATTTATTTATTTTTTCGGTGGAGGTACTGGGATTTGAACCTAGGACCTCAAGAATGCCCTCCCCCTGCAAGGTTTCTTTTATTTTCTGTTACACCCAGGTCATCTGTGTGGCTGCACCTTGAGGCTCATTTACAGGCTGATTTAGTAAATTCTCTCCGTGCTCCGGAAGGGTGGGCCAGGTGACACATTTGATAATGTTTTCATCTCTAGCACTCTCCGTGCTGAAGAAGGCTTTTCGTTGGAGTGACATCCAATGTAATGGCTATAGCCCAGTATATCTGCTCTAGCAAAATTGTCACTTCCATGTCAGGTCGTTGAAACTATTTTTTGCTTAAAATAATTATTTCCATTTCTGGTGTAGGAAGATTGAAAACCCGTTGGGAGACATATCAATAAAAATAAATGTTTGAAATTAAACTGTAAAGAAATATGCTATTTCACTGAAAGCTGTGATTTTAATCGGATCAATGAATGGTATGATTAAAGTGTTCAGGGTTGGTGTATTTATAAAAATAAGTGGTACTTTCGAACTTTGAGTTTCATGGGCATCACACACATTTTAGAGGACTCGGGTAACATACACGGTATGTTTGTGTTTCAGGCAACGTTTTCCTGTGACTGTGATGAACAGTATGTGGGTACTTACTGTGAAGAATTTGACGCCTGCCAGAGGAGACCCTGCCTGAACAACGCAAGCTGCGTTGATGCGATCGAAAAGCAAGACGGGAGAAACTTCACCTGCGTCTGCCTCGCGGGTATGGTTTCCATGCTTAACAGTTACTGTGTGTCTCTCTGTGGAATAGACGCTTATTAATCAAGGGTGGTTAAACATATATTGTCCAGCTGCTAGACAAGGTGACTTTAGGGTCTCATCTGGTTCTAGCAGCCCATGCTTTATGTAATCAGGAAGGGAGGAAGGAAGTTCGCAGGGTGATAAACATGCTGTCCCTCGGGTGGGCTTCCTGGCATTAGAACGCTTCTGTCTTAGCATTCCGCCATTTTTTGTTCTGGGAGAAATGTCTGGTCAAATAGAGGTCTGGCTGTTCCAAAAGCTGTTCTACAGATAGGCACTGCGTGTGGGCTGGTGCTGTGCTGGGGGATTTTGCTAACTAACTTCAGAAACATTTGGACTAAACTATGCAGGTTGTTAAGTAAAGCCACCAAGTCCTCTTGTTTGTGTTAATTTCCTTTTGTTCATGTGTGTTCAGTAGCCCAAGTTCTTGGACCACGGTCCTGCACAAGCCTTGCATGTTCCTTGGTTAGTATAGGGGGTGCGTGGATCCTGCACAAGACTTTGAAATCCTCGGAGCACAGAGAGTGACTCTCAGGAGAGTGCCGTGGGCAATGTGCCCACAGGCTTGTATTCTCTGGCAATCATCTTACTGGCTTGCTGCTCAGCCAGCTCGGTTACAAACCCTCAGGGAGCAAGAATGGCGTTTTACCCGTGAACATTTTGATGCAGCTGTTTTGAGGCAGCTTAAAAACAAACACCAGATGACTCCTTTTTTATTATCAATGCCGTGCAAAATTGACAACATCTTTTCCTTTTCCATCTCATCCCGTTGCCAGCGTCTGGATGGGGCAGGAGCTGGGGACAGAGAGAGGGATGGAGTGAAGGGGGCATGGGGGTGATTAATAGTGCTTGTTGTAAGAAACCAGGCCCATCAATGCAGAAATTCATAAACAAAAAAGTGGAAGTCCCTCACTCATCTCCTAACCCAAACTCATAAAATCATAAGGGTAGGTTAATGGTTTGGTGTTATTTTTTCCTGTGTGTGTGTGTGTGTGTATTTCTACATGAGTATATCTATTTCTTCTGCAGATCAGATGATTAAGTATTCACTATATGTTTTTAAAAAAGTGATTACAGGATACGTGCTGTTCTACAACTTACTGTTTTCAGTAGATCACAAACATCCTTCCGTGTGAGTACCTATAGAGCGTGTCTCCTACATTTGTATCTCCAGGTCACACTACTGCCATCTGGCATCTCCATTTAGGTGTTCCAGGCCACCCTCAGCTGAGTCAGTCATTCCAAAACTGAGCTCATCATGGCCCCGGCTCCACACAGCTTGGCCTCCGGTGCTCCGTCTCTTTCTACAAGACATCAGCCCAGCTAGGTGCCCGCCTCTCTCTCTGTCCACATCCTCTCTGCCTCCAGGTGCCCTCCGTTTTACCACCTGAAGACTTCTTAGGTCCAGCACCTTCCCTGCAGCCCCACTGCCACTACCCCTAGGCCGGCTGCCTCTGCCCCTTGATTGTGCTCCTGAGATAACCTCGCCCTCTTCCTCCACCTGCTCTTGACTGTGCTGCGCACTAGATCCGGTGACCACGCCAAAGTGAGCACCGGCGTTCGTTCTGTCAGTGTCCCCAGACTCCCTATGCTCCGCGTGGCGGCTGGTGATGGGTTTTCAGTGCAGATCTCGTGTTTTGCTTTCTCACGTAATTCCGCTCTTCCCATTGCTTTTGGGGTGGAGAGCAAAATCCTCAGCCTCATTCTCCTCCGTGATCTGTCGCACGCCCACCTTTCTCGCCCCATCTCCCCGCACTGTCCACGTTGCTCTGGGACCAGCCACCTGGGCCTTTCACCTCCCTGGCTCCCGGAGCCCCCTCCTGCTGCAGGGACCCCTTCTCTGCTTTGTGCCTGGGCAGCTCTCCCTGCTGCCTCCCTTTGGCCTGGTTAACTACTGCCAGGCTTCTATTTTGGGCATCGTTAAATGCCCCTTTCCTTGGGATGTCTCAGCTAAATGCTTCAAGCTAGGTCTCCTTCTCTTTTCCTCATTTATAGCCATGCATTCCTTTCCTTCCCAGCCCGCATCTGTCTTCAGGGGACACGTACACGTGTGGTTCTTTGATTCCCGTCTTCCTCACCAGAGTTAACCCTGTGAGAGCGGGGCCTGAATCAATTCGGTCCAACCGTGTATCCCACGGTGTCTGATGAGTCCTGGACGTTCAGTCAGTGTGTTGATAAGATGAATTAATGAAAGATTATGAACATGGCCTGATGTTTTAAACCATTCCTCTATTGATGGATCTTTAAGGTTTTGCAATTTCTCTTTTCTAAGTAATGCTCTGATGAATAAAGATCCTTGTATAAACAGTCTCAATCAGGGCTGGAGGTGGGGCTTGCCACTCTTTGGACTGGAATGATTTCGGTTTGATGTGTTTGCAGGTCTCTTCTCAGAGGAGATTTCTCCATTTTTTAAGGGAACTCACATGCGCAGAATTGGAATGACCCTCATGCTTATTTTGTGACACTCTCCCACCTTGTCCATAGCATGCTTTTACATACTTACTTCACTGTTTTATTTTGCAGTAATCACTGGTGAAACACCAGCAAAACCAGGAGTTAGACCTGATAACTAACCCCAGACTCCCCATCAGCTCATCCGTCACCCTCCCTTCCCCACCTAAAGTTAAGTCACTTGGAATCTTGAGTTGATCTGTCCCTTGTCTTCCTTTTTATATGATTTTGTTTTTATTTTTATTTTTTGGAAGGGGAGATAATTAGGTTTACTTATTTATTTTTAGAGGAGGTGCTGGGGATTGAACCCAGGACCTCTTGCATACTAAGCATGCTCTCTACCACTTGAGCTATACCCTCCCTCCCATGATTTTAATATTATGTGTTTTTGTAGAATTTTTTATTTATACTTTAATTGTTTTCAAATTTATAAAAATGGTATCATGCATGCAATTCTCTAGTGCTTACTTTTTTCACTTAATACCATATTGCTAGGATTCATCTGTGTGGTTGGAATTCATTCTTTTGGACATTATTATTATATTTTGCAGACTTTACTTAATACATTGTGTATCCTCTTTAAGAAATATTTCTCTGCCTAAAGATCTAAAAGTTATTCATCTATATTTTCTACTAAGCATTTAAAATTTTTGCTTTATACCATACTATTTAATTAATATGAATTTGATTTTTGTATATATGGTTTGAAATAGGGATCTCATTTTAGCTTATACTATAACTTTTTCTTCTTTTTTAAAAAGACTATTTCTATAAATACATAGTATATGAACCTTTATTCTGTGCCCCACTCTTTGGAAAGCTACTGCTAGCATTTGGAATGACTGGATACTTCATGCATTTTTAATTGTGTTTATTCTCATTTTTTCAGGCATTTCTGCACTGTTAGAGCTTAACCACTGATCTGAAATTTCTAGAAATAAATACTGCTAATTAGTTTTTGCTTATTAGTAGGGAGAAAAATTTCACCTTATCACCTAAGATAGTTTAACAGCTTCTGTAGCCTATCATGGCTTTTTCTAGGTATTTCTAGGTAGCACATATAGACATGTAAGATTCTCCTTGGCTCTTCTAATATCAACAAGATCAATAAAAATAGTACTTTGACTCTCAGTTGGCTTCAGGGCCAGAGGGTTGCATTCTAAGAATATGAATTTTGGTAATTCTACTTGACTCGGACAGTTTGGCGATTTCCAGTAATTTCACTGGAATTGTGCTGCAAGCCAAGAGACGGCAAATGGATCTCGATTTGCAGAAAGATCATGTTTTATTTCTTCTATTAAAACAACAAAACTATTTTATAACACCACATTTGTAAGATGTTATTGTTCTAATAAACTGCTTTCTAACAGTTTTCCTATTTCCTAAATATCATAGATTTTAAACTCCCCAGTTTTCATGAAATAGCATACAGTTTTATTATTTTATTTTTTTCTACACATTGCAGATTGTATTAGTCTGTTAAACCTGCCAAAACACACTACCACAGATGGGGTGGCTTAAAAACAGAAATTCATCTTCTTACAATTCTGGAGGCTGGAAGTCTGAGATCAAGGTGCTGGCAGGGTAGAAACCCATACAGTGTTATTTTACTTTATTTTTATTTTTATTATTTTTTTTTTGATTGAAGTACCATCAGTTACAATGTGTCAATTTCTGGTGTACGGCACAGTGTCCCCATCATGCACATACATACCTATGTTCGTTTTCATATTCTTTTTCATTCAAGGCTATTGCAAGATACTGAACATAGTTCTCTGTGTTATACAGCAGAAACATTTTTTAAATTCTGTGTTTATCTATAATGGCCAACCTTTGTAAATTAGATGTAGATACCTTTGTGCACCAGTCGTAGTTGAGGCAACTTTACATCATCTCCACTGACATTTACGTTGTGCTGTTTTCTGAGGTTCCTGCATAACATCGAGTTTGCTTAGAGGGAGAAAACCCCACCACATAAAGGAAAGTCTTTCTTGTTTAATAGGAATGTAAAGCAGCTGTGGAACCACGGTGGCTGTTTAGAATCTTTTCTGCTCTCCTTGAGTCTGTAGCTCTCTCGTTACCTGTCTCATCTTCTGCTTTCTCCAAATGTGGCCTCGCGTCAGCTGGGATCTCTCGGCCATCCTGCCTTTGTCAGGGTCTCCCGGACTCCCAGCAGCTGCTTCGTTGGCCTTTCAGAGAGCGGGGGCCGTGGGATTCCCTCCCCCGTCGCCTCCATCCTTCCTCATGCTCTAGAGCAAATCCCCGGCAGATGTGAAAGAGATTTAGGAAGCCTGGTACCCTGACTCTCTCTCTGCTCAGCTACCTTCCAGCTTGTTCCTGCGCTTCTCTTAAGTTGGTTTCTACCTTGTCAGTTCCCTCGTCCTGTGGGAATAACCCCACCTCCCCGTTTAGCATCTGGCTCTGTCTCCCAGCCAGCTTTTTACTATAGCACATGCACACGCACACGCGCACACCAATAGCTGGTGCTTGTCCAGTGTTAACCATGAGCCA